GCAGGCAGTGAAAATGGAAATGGAGACATCAGGGGGTCAGGGACAGGCTGGGGTGGCAGGGGAAGGGAGATGTAGCGGATAAAAGTGGAGAGGTTCCTAGGTAGTCAGATGTCCGGCAGGTTGTAGTATGTCATAATTCCAATGTCTATATCGAGTCCATGAGTTTTTGTTCCTAGGAAGTTGATGAAGTGCAGTTCATAGGCTCATCTGTGAAAAGAGGTTCATAAATTCCCTTTGAGGATCAGGCCTGAGAGATTGGAGACAGGTGTTCTTGTCTTTGATAGATTTTCGGTGTGCGCTCATTCTGGTGGGTAGTCGTTGCTTGGTGTCTCCTACGTATTTTCCATCTGGGCACTTGGTCACACATCATGAGTTTTGCTTGCCAGCAGCTTGAGGTGTAGTTTCCCAAAAATCCCTGAACCTATCTCCTTGAAACTTGGCAGGCTTCATGGCCTCAGAAAAGGCTACCATGCCTGCTGTTTTCACCCCCCTGTGCCTTCACACTTACAAGTGACATGAGTTGTGCTTTCAAGAATTAGAGGTACAGTTTCCCCAAAACCCCTACACATATATCCTTGAAACTTGATAGGTTCTGTGGCCTCAGCAGGGGCTACTATGCCTGCTGTTTTCATTCAAATCAAGTAACAAATGACAAAGGTATAGTCAGTTTTGTGATTCCCCTGTGAAGTAAAGAACAATGGGTCATTCATGGACCATTAACTTCTTTAGCTGCCTAAATACCAATATCAGAGCTGCACGACAGTGCCCTGTCCCTGCCTCTCTGCATCCATGCTGCTGACTTTAGTGGTCAGTGGGCCAGGGGGTGGATGGGAGGACAGTATCCTGGATTCGCATTGTCTCATATGGTCATCCTCGCTCTAGATGACTCATCACATTTATTTCAAAGTTGGATGGTGTTTTGAGAACAAGTCTTGGAATTACAGGAAAGAAGAAATAGTCTCATGATTCAGGCAATTGATTACCACTCTCAGGAACTGGGGGTCTATCCATCTACCACAAAATTCCCCATGTGATGTTAGTCTAGTTGCTGAACCCAAACTTTTTATAAATGGTCATCTTCTGGATGGCTAACTTGAGACACTGTGGTCTGATTTTCAGAGCTGCTGTAACTTTAATGAATGGGAGCTGTGCCTTGAACATATGAAGGGTTATACAGTGCTTTGTGCTCTGGGAAAGTATGTCCTTGGTGTAAGGTGTGGTGGGCCAGTAGGGGGTGCTCCTGCGCTGAGCCACCTACCTCACTGCACCCAACTAACTTCCAGGGTTCGAGTGCCTCCCTGGGGGTGCCTCACATCTAGCTGACCCCCTTCTTGGAGCACACTCACTAGCCTGGAGGTAGTGCCACCACCACCCAGGGTCTGGCTTGATCCTGGCACTGTACCCCCTAGGAAAAACAGGTCTAGTAGTCCTTGAGGGTACTCGACCCCCTGAGGTAGTGCCACCACCACCCAGGGTCTGGCTTGATCCTGGCACTGTACCCCCTAGGAAAAACAGGTCTAGTAGTCCTTGAGGGTACTCGACCCCCTGCAAGATCTTGCGGTGCTTCCCTCAGTCTGAAGCACAAATAGTGGTCTCCCTTAGTCAGCTGAACCAAGGGAACCCCAAGGCATAATCTAGACCCACTCCCAATAAGTCTCCCAAGCTAGGTACAGAGAACTTTATTGGTTACAAGAAGTAGGTTTGGAATAGAGTACAGGGTAGAGCAATATCAGAGAAATTCCATAGAGCAAACTCGCATGGCTGGGTAGCCTTTGATCATGCATCTGAGTTAGTGCAAGCTATATATCTAGTTAGATCTTGGGTTGCTTACTCACAAGTATCATCCAATGGCAGGTGGAGATTCCCTCTGGAGGCAGGCAGTTCATTGATCATAGGTTTCAAGAGAGAGAGCACGTTTCAGATGGTCCAGCTCTTCTCTCTCAGAGTTTTTATTATAGCTACTGCCCCCACCCCTTCCTGTGCAGTCCTTAACTTATATAGCCCTTATAACCTCAGTTACTTGGTCCAATGGAGACCAGCGCCTGTTGGCTGCCAGCCAAACAATTTGAAATGCATCACTGGTTGCTGGGCACTAGCAGGGTCAGGTTGGCATTACTTAGAACAATAGGGAGCATAAGCCCCTCACCCAGGTATGTGATGCCAGTCACGTAGGCAGAAGAAGCAGATTTCCCCCCTCCCTCAAGAATGTATCCAACTCAGGTTACCTAAAGAGATGTCTGCCCTCTGCATGTTAACCAAACTGTCACAGCAGAGTTTTTTTGGGGAGAGACAGAGGTGGCAATCTGCCACATAAGAAAACTGGAAATGCAAAATTAATGGAATCTTTTAACCTTGTTTCACCATTTTTCAGTTTCTGTCTGTTTGCATGTGAAATATATATATATAACTTGATATTTTAATATTTTAAAAATAATGTAATGTAACATTAAAGTCACAACTTTGAATAGTTAAAAGCAATAACAAATTAAGGCTCTTGTAGTAATCTCACTTTGTCCATGCTGGAAAAACAGGACACAACTTAACTAATGTTTTCTCATGTAAACATTTCAATGAGAGTCACATAAATATATCTGAAAGCTTTCATATAAGTAACCTTACTGAATATTGTGTTCCCAAGATACATTAAAGGGTTTGAAAATATCACATTTTGTCAATTCCTTTGTTCTATGTTATTTGTTTAGTCCCATCAACACTGGGTCAGAAGTAAGTCTGAACAGTTAAAATATGAGGGGTTTTTTTAAAGACTCCAACAAAAGAACACTGTTTTAGAATTAGTTTGATTGTATGGTATTTAAACATGGGTTCAGTATTGTTTAATTTTATGTATATCTTGTCATTGATCAATTTTGTATTTTAAACACAGAATTTAAACATAATTTCTAAACTCTGTTCCAAGATGGATGTATATAGATATCTAGTGTAAATTTTTGGTATCTGTAAGAACATAAAACTGCCTTAAAATATAAAATACATGCAACTATTATATGTACAAACTGGACAGAGAGAATTTTTTTGTGAATATTGCCTACTTAGTGGCTTTGTTGAAAAATGGTCTCAGTCCAGTTTTATCCATTTCAATATAACTCCAATTTAGTCAGATTTTTTCAGAGCTATACATCTGAGTCTCTTAAAACAGAATACTTACCACTATGATTGAATGGGATTTGTGTCAATATGAGTATCCTCCCAGCTAATAAAAATAGAACAGGGGAGGAGAGTATAATACTGGGAGCAATGTGGTCGTCTCCAGGTCAAAAAACCTGTAGTGTTTTCAATTCGATTAGGATGAATCAGTGTTGGAGCCAAAAATGTAATTTTGTTACAGCCTTCTGACAGTAGCTTTTTTTAATGTTAAGAAAACATTTTACAGAACATAATTCTTTAAAAGGTCAACTTTAACAAGTGTCTCTTCAAACCTACATTGAAATAAATCAGCCATTTAGGATTATAATCCTTCACAACAAATGTCTAATACAGTACATTAGCACCTTATTATGAACTGAAGGTCTGATCCCTGCTCCCCACTTAGTTTTGCTTCTCTGGTATTATCAGAGGGCACTACATTTTGGTATACATCAGTCACACTATACACTATGTATTTTTGCTGCAGAATTATCATGGACTCTTACCTGTGGGTTGTCCCTAGTTCCTCTGTTATCCAGAAACAAAAACCTTTTTGTCTAAGGGTAATGGTGCTTTTAAGTCAGAGTAGCTAGCACTGATGTAGTGTGGGATAGGACTATAAGACTGAGATGGGGCATTCTGATCCACTGTATCCAGGTCTTTGAATTTGCTGGCAGCCAATAAACCAAAGATTCCTAAAAATCATCCTATCTAATCCTTTACACATCCCAACCATAAAGAGAACTTCAAAAGCACCCTAGATTTTGCCCTGCATAAAAAACAGGGGAGATGAGAGTAACCTGTCACTCCAAAGCAGAAAACTGGTTAGTATGAGCTCAGAGAGTTCCAAGAGGAACATGATTCTCACAACAGAGAAAAGCAAAAATCGTCCTTTTGGGCTTAGAAGTTCTGGTTTTGCTCAAATTGTTATCTTTGCCTTTTTTGCAGTGAGGTTCCAGGCTGAATCATTTGAGTGATTAGAGTCCTTCAATGCCTTCCCACAATTCCCCTAATGTGCTCAGAAGGACAACAAGTTCTTTCGTAATTTACTGGGAAAGAATATACTATAGCACAGCTTATTTTACTGCAGTACAAAGAAACCTGGGATGGGGCTTGTCCTATTAATTCCTAACCCATACTTTTTGCCAGCAGTAACAATTATTTCTAGGTGCAAAATGGAGGTTTTAGTAAAGCTAGTCAGAAAATTTGGCATATTAAATCAAGCCATTCAAATCTTTTAAAATAGGATACATTCTATTTAGAAATGTATGTAAATACAAAATAAAATTCTATAACACATGGTATATTCCAAAGGCAAAGCATGCAATTTATCCAGCTGTACCTCATTTTATAGAATTCATTGTACATGTTGGTATATTGACAGTAGGAATTAAGGATATCACTGTTCAAATCATATTGTCATTTCTTTAACATTGTTTCTCCTAAAGAAAAAAAATATTCTTGCTTAAAGTTGGATTCAGAAAATAATTCTAACATTTTTATGTTAAGATTATTTATTTTATAAACCTCTTGTAGATTATTTTACTAAAATATATTATCTTGAAATTTTGGGACACAACCATGTAATGCTCAGGGAGTTGTTCTTACTTCTGGAAAGCATCCCACTGATTTTGGAAAGGTAAAATCATGCCAATCAACAACAACAAAAAACTATCAGACACCATAACATTTTTCTATTCAACTTTTCAAGTTGACTCGGTAGGGCAACTTGTCTAAGCTTAAGATTGTTTCTCTTCAACTTTGTTTAAGTGAGTATGGTGTATAATGGTGGAAGATATATTTAGTAATTTAGAATGACTAAATCTTATTGTTTTTACATTTATTTTATTAAACAGGACATTTTTACTTTCTGGAAGGGCAGAATGATGCGCTGCTTTGTGGAAATAGCTCAGATGCTGGGTAAGGACATATTTCATTATGGTTTATAGTCCATCATGGAAACAGGCTATATCATCTTCAAATACCGAATATACCCAGTTCTAAGACAAGGTTATTTCCTCCCATTTAACATGGAGGGAAACCCTGTTGTCTTAGAATCAAATATGAGGGACAGGGGTGGGGGAAAGCAGAAGGCTACTATGGCTTGAGCTCCATCCCCTACCCAGGGTTGGGGCCATAGCCACAGCTACTGCCTGCCCCACCCTATCACCTTGACATCCCACCATCTTCCCTCTGTAGCCTCTTCCCCCACCCCCTTCCCCTTCTTCATGTGACCTCTACTGCTCTCCCGCCCCCTCTTACCTTTGCTCTGTGCTGTCAGGCTCCATCCACACTGCAGTAAAAGGGTACTGCAGCCAGAGGCACAGCTGCTATGGAGGCTGGGCTAGGGCTTTGCTCAGTGCCCCAGGCTAGAACAGGGATGCCTCAGGCCTGCCAGCACAGAGCAAACCTAAGGAGGTGAAAGTGGGGAGCAGCAGAGGCTAGGTGGGAAGGGAAAGTGGGGGAAGCAGAGACTGGAGGGAAAGGGGAAGTAGAGGCAAAGGGGGGAGGGGGCCCTGAGACTTCATGGGGCAGAGGTGGCAGGGAGACAGCCATAAGCAGGGGGCAAGTTGCTTGACTTCCCCACACCTCCTGCCCTGTTCACTGCTTGCCACCCTGCAGTGGTGGAGGGGATGAATTAAAGATGACCTTCCAACAATTAGGTTCTCTACATGGAAAAATACAAGAAATGTATATATTTTCCACATATAGTGTCTAATTATTTAGGGGTGGGAGGTATCTTGATTTCTAGGTCATCTTCGATTCAGGTAAATATAATATATAGCATTAAAGAATTTGTGTGACCAGCCATTTCACACTTTTCCACTTTAGAGATGTTATTAAGATTTGATGCAAGATATTTGAACTTGGACTTGAGTTCCTGGTAACATTTAGGCATCTGGTCAAGACAGTGTTGTCTCTGTTAAACACTAATTAAAAAATATTAGTATTTACTTAATTCCTGGCTGGTTAAGATATACCATTTATTACTCTATTCCAAGATGAATTTTTCCCCCCATTTAATATGTCTTAGAATCGAGTATGAGGTGGTGAGTAGGCAGGCAGCCCTGTGGCTCTAGCTCTAGCCCTGACCTGGGGTCAGGACCAGAACCATGGCTTCTGCCTATTCCCCCCTCCCCATCCCCTGTCCTCCCAGTTCTTCCCCACTGCAGCCTCACCCCCACCATCTCTGTCCCCCCACCACCATGCAGGCTTTGCCTCTTCACCCCATTCCAGCACCATAGGCTCCATCTCTGCTTCAGCCTGGGGCATGGAGCACATGCTGGCTCAGGGGAGGCAGAGGGTGCTGACGGTGGGGGGGATTGGAAGGAAAAGGGGGCTGGGAAGCCTGAGGCAGCAGAGAGGCAGAGACAGTGGGGAGATGGGCACAAAGGGGCAGGTAGCAGAGGAGAGTAAGTGGTGGGGGGACAGGTGGCAGGAGACAAGGTTTAGGGCTCAAGGGGCAGGGATCCAGCTGCTTGACCACCTCCAGTGCCTGCCCTCCCTACTACTTCCCCCACCACCTGCCCCAATGCTTGCTCCCTTATCACCTCCCCACCACCTGCTGCCCCACTGCTTCCCCCTACCACCTGCCCCACTGCTTGCTCCCTTATCACCTGCTGCCCCACTGCTTCCCCCTACCACCTCTGCTGTCTCTCCCCCCACCTGCCTCCTCTATCACTGCTTTCCCAGATGCAGCAACACAGAGGATGAATTTAAGATGACTCTATAATAATTAAATTCTATACATGGAAACTATAACAAATTTATACATTTTCTATGTATAAATCTAATTATTGGGGGGTCATCTTAAATTAAGGGTCATCTTGGATATGTGTAAATGATAACAAAAGCAATGGTTAGAAAGGTAAATGCCTTTGCCACATTTGGGCTGAGTACTGATGAGTATCAGCATAGTAAAGGGACATGGAGAGGTGTCAGTATTAACAATTAAAGATCTGAGTTTGTGATTTGGATTAAATGTGGCAAGTTAGGATAAAATAAATATTAAAATGCTGCTAATATCAAAATGCAAGGCAGGATTACCACTTCCCATTGATATATTATATTTTTACATAATACATTTTTAGCTACTCTTAAAAACAATGGCTCACCTGTAGCTCACCAGCTGGGAGTTGCCAGAGGGTGGCTGCATAGGGCACTGGGCTCAGCAGCAGCAGCTGGGTACCTGCTCCCTGTCCCCTCTCTCAGCTTTTCATCACTGGCCTAAAAGCTCCAGTTGTGGCTGATGGCTTCTTGCGAACCTGGGCCTGGTGGCATTGTTGGTTGGTCCCCTACTTCCAACACCTGCTCCAGGCCCATGTTGGATACCTGGGGGGACCAAGTAGGTAGAAGGGGCTGGAAGGGGGGACCCATCCACCACCACCACTGTCCCTAGCCCAGCACCCCATACAGCTGCTCATAGCAGCTTCTGGCTGGAGCAAGGCATGAGTGGCCTGGGACTTCCCCCATCCCCAATTAGCTAGTGACAGTGGCAGCAGTGGGCAGGTTGCCCCTTCTGGCAATCCCTGCTGCAGAGGGGAATGAGGGAGTATGAAAGGAAGGGAGGTGCTGCTGAGCACTGGACTGAAAGAAGTGCCCAGAGCAGAGGGGGGCGGTGAGGATCTAGGAAGTCATACCTACTTTGTGAACACAAAAACAGTCCCCAGTAGCTGCTTCTGTGGTGTGATCTGCCTGTCAGGGGGTGGGGGGAGGTGCCAGTCACTTCCCCCACACCCCTTTTTCATTATCCTAGATTGACCTGTGACTATTTCATAATCCTTAACTTCTGTCAGTAGGTGACATGGACTGATCCTGGAATAATTATAAAATATCCTATTCCTCTCTCTGTGTAGTCAGTGTCCAGAAGGATATGTGTGTGTAAAAGCTGGTAGGAATCCCAATTATGGCTACACAAGCTTTGACACCTTCAGCTGGGCATTTTTGTCTCTGTTTCGACTGATGACTCAAGACTTCTGGGAAAACCTTTATCAGCTGGTAAGAACATTTTGTAAAAAAAGAAACCAAATCAACAAAGCAAAGTATTTTTATCTTATTGAATTATACAGATGGTCTAAAATAAATTAGACTATTACATCTCATAGAATCATATTACTGATGTAGAAGGCAGACTGTGCTCACATAGTAACATTAATAAAGCTCTGTTTATTATTACTTCCAGACCCTACGAGCTGCTGGCAAAACATATATGATATTTTTTGTTCTGGTGATTTTCCTGG